GTCTGCTGGAGCAGATTTTTCTAGAAAAATTCGAATAACTCGAGAACGACCGAATCAAATTGCAAAAAGTAAAGTTATTTATAAACCTTGAAAACAGACAAATCCAAATATGTAAAAATATACAGGGTGTTCCATTTAAAAAAATAAAGTTGGTGGCGACTTCCGGTATAACCGGAAGTGCAAGAAATCTGAAAATATTTTAGACGAAGAGATCGTAATTGATAATACTTAAGTCTGAATTCTCAAATTTTTATTTTCGCCAGAACCCCAGAAACGTCTAATGACCGGTCTCGCTGAGACACCCTGTATATTTAAGGATTTATATACATAATATTATCTTTAAGGAAAAAACTAAAGAGACAAAAAAGGTTTTGTAAATTTCATCCCCTTAGAGGGCGCTAGGGAAGTTTAAGATATGGTTGAAAATAAAGTATACAAACAATAAAGTATACATACAGAATTTCAAATTTTACGGGTTACATATACCCGAAATAAAAGATAAAAATGTAAATTTGTAAAGTAAAAAAAATCCAATTTTACAAAAATAAATTTGTAAAATGTAAAGTATCCCGATTAAAAACTGAACCACCCTGTATACAGAGTGTGTCAAATGTCTGGAATATAGCCAATAACTTCGCCAATTGTGATTTTATAGAAAAATGTTTCAAATAAAAAATTCTTTATTAATTGTGGCGCATTTTTTGACGATAATTGCTTGTTTACATTGTTCTTTGTTTCGTTGCTATGGCAACCAACATTGTTATTTTAAATGGGATGCATATGTTTTTTTTGCACATTTTCATGGAGGATAAATCCCTCTACGCGATCAACATATCAAATCATATGGTTGTATTCACTCTGTAAATATTAAATCAGCAAATTACAATCAAAGGAGGTGTCGAAATAACGCCGTTGACAGCTTTAAATGTCAAAAAATTGATAGTTTAAACAAATATGGCGCAATTAAGCGAACGACAAAGAATTCAAATATTAATAATGTATGGGTACGGTGATATTAACCAGGATACACAAATTACACAATCCACAGTATCGAAAATATTAAAAAAATTCTTTAACACCGGAACTGTTAAAAACCTTCAAAAAAATTGATGGCCAAAGACAGCTACCAATGACCATATATTATTAATTATTCATAATTGTTGAAACTGTAATTTTTTTGACATTTAAAGCTGTCAACGGCTTTATTTCGGCGCCTACTTTGATTGTAATTAGGTGATTTAATACTTTCAAAAAACGCATTTTTTCTCGATTTTTTTCTTATACAACCATGATTTGATATGTTCATCGCATAGAAGGACTTATGCAAAGTATGCAAAAAAATATATGCATCCCATTTAAAATAACAATGTTGGTTGCCATAGCAACGAAACAAAAAACAACTCAAACAAGCAAATATCGCCAAAAAATGCGCCATGATTAATAGTATTTGAAACATTTTTCTCTAAAATCACAAATGGCGAAGTTATTAGCTATATTCCAAACATTTGACACACCCTGTATATTTAATTAAATACTTGTGTTAGTTCTAGTGCGAAACTAGAACTAACACTAGACCTAGAACTAGAAACATTCGGATTTAGCACCACGTCTCTTAAGACTGCTAAACCCGAATGATTCTAGTTCTAGGTCTTGTGTTAGTTCTACTGACAGTGCAAAACTAGAACTAACACTAGACCTAGAACTAGAAAGTGTCAAGTTTTATTAATTGTTGGTAATTTAAAGGTTCTTTTATCTTGTAATAATTAACTCTCTCTGCAAAAGCTTTCGACAAATTCTTTATTTTTTCGATCAACAAAATAGTCATTTATTTTTTTTTATTACTAACTACGATCATATATTTAAAAACCAAACATCAAATATTGCCATGTAATCATTACCAATAATTTTAACAAGTTTAGCCGTGCGTCTTTAGACTTAATAATTTAATACATAAAAGTAAATAATAAAATTCACAATTACATATTTGACTTTTAAAAGTCAATTTGACAATTAAACGTCAAAATCGTTGAAAATCTTAATCTGAAAAAACTCAAAGATCAGTTAATTTAATGTAAAGAATGTTATTGAAATATTAAAAGTAGCGAGATATATATAAATCAAAACAGTTATTAAAAAAATCGACAAGAAATATTTGACATTCATCAAAAGATTTCCAAAAATTTAGGTTGGTACCATTTTAGGGAAATGTGTTGTAAATTTAAACGTCAAAATGACGTTTAACGTTACATGATGACATTTGTGTGTATAAATCTTGTCGAGGTAAATTATTTAGGGTTTCTGTTGGTATCATTAAGACCCTTATAAAATTTATGTTGTTTTCCTGATTATTAGTAAAATTTTCAGTAACTAAATAATTGAGGTTAAAATATTAGTAAATTTTTAGATAAATACTATTTTTCTAGATAAACAAATGGCAAATAAACGCAAATTTCTTGCGTTCATTTTATTTTAATTTTATTACTTTTGACTTTTTGAATATCAAAAGCTCAAACAAACGTCAGTGTGACATATTTATTTCAAAACTAAATGAATGCTAGTGTAAAATTAAAACTAACACTAGATCTTACTGGTTTAAATGTTAATGAACGTAACTGAAAGTGGAATAATTTAACTATTCAATCTAAAGCCATTTTGTGCATACAATAAGCAAGATTCTGTCAAATAGTAACCATAATAAACAAGATTCCTTGTAGAGCAACGGAGTTTACTCTGTTGACTGTCACAATTGCAATGCTATATACAGGATGATTCATATAAGAACAGATACAAAGCTGATGATTTAACGCAACTTATCTCTATACTAAGTTGTACCCCTTAGAAGTTATAGGCCTCCAAAGTTGGGTCTTAAATGTTTAAAACATTCAATATCTTCATAATACATTAAGCTAGAAAAACTAAATTTGGTATACGTTATGAGTGTACCAAGGGTATTAATTGGTAGCAAGTTAAGACCAATTGAAGTATTTCAAAGGGTTAATTAAGGGTGATGGTCGAATTTTGACAGATTTAGATATAAGGGACATGGATTTATAACTTATAAAGCATTGTCCTTTACATAAAAAACAACATAAATAATAAACGAAAATGATTTAACAGAAAAACAACTTAATTAATCAACCCTTTGAAATACCTCAATTGATCTCAATTTGCTACCAATTAATAAATTAATACCCTTAGTACACTCATAATGTATACCAAATTTGATGAATATGATTATTCAAAACCGGTTCTGAAATTAACTTGGATCACATAGTTAATTTAAGATTAATTTATGCTCTGTTTTAGGCTTTGTACATTGATGCTGCTGTTTATATTCCTGCTGAGTTACCTCAAATTCAAGATTTACTTATTGAGAAGCAGTTAAGGCTTCATGTAACTCCGGAAGAATTAGATATTTTAAGAGGATAATTTATCAGGTATTTTTCATTAATAAATATTGTATATAAAATTTATTTTATTTAAATTTTCCTAAAAATTTCCAAAATTTTTTTTAATGCAATTTGGGTTGCCTAACTTATTAAAAAAAAATTTATTTCTAAAATTTTTTAATTAATTTCTAGATTAAAATGTTATTGCTACAAGATTCTTATTAAAAACAAAATTTATTAATTAATTTTGAGGGAGCTTTCCCTTCCACCGAAGAAGTGAGAGCTTTCCATGACGTCACCAACCCCCCCACTCCAAATAGGTAGACTGTGTTTGTATCTCGCAGTCCTCGCAGTTTTAAGAACCATTCGCGTTCGGTCTGCAAAACTCTTCGGCGTTGAGGAAATAAAAAGAAACGGTACAAGAAAAACGGTGACATCGTCGATGTGTGAGTGAATTGCAAAAGAAACGCGGTGTGTCATGACTTTTTGACATTTTAAAAGAAGTCGAAATTGAGAGAAGGACCCAAAATTGCAAGAACAACATTATTTGGTTATTGGTAAGTTCTTTTTGAAATAAATTTTAGTTCCACCAAACAATTTAATAGGTTAATTAATTCTTTTACGAAGAAAAATCACAAAAAAGGGCGATATCGTTATCTTAATTCTTGTTTATCTTGATTTTTNAAATTGTTGACAAAGTTTGTTTAGAATTGTTTCAGGAACAATTTTTGTTAACACAATTTTTTTCTAACTTGAAATTTTAATTTCCCACTGAACAGTATGCTGTTCTTTTAATCAAGATTTTCTGAGAACGAGTGGAGGGGGGAAATCGTATCGTTTTGTTACAAAAATTTCGTGCCCTAATGATGACATTTGTGTGTCAAAATCATGTATAGTTCATTTTTTTTCTATTATACTTGTCAAGGTAAATTATTTAGGGTTTCTGTTGGTATTACTTAGGACCCTTATAAAATTTATGTTGTTTTCCTGATTTTTAGTAGCATTTTCAGTAACTAAATTATTGAGGTTAAAATATTAGTAAATTTTTAGATAAATACTATTTCACGCCGTACATATTTATTGTAAAAGCGTGCTACAAACTAATGAAATAGAATAAAACATCTTTTCTATATAAACAAATGGCAAATAAACGCAAATTTCTTGCGTTCATTTTATTTTAATTTTATTATTTTTATTACTTTTGACTTTTTGAATAACAAAAGCTCAAACAAACGTCAGTGTGACATATTTTTTTCAAAACTCCCTTAATTTTGTCAACTTTACAACAATTTGACACGTATTATAGGAAAAAAAACGAACTGTATAAATAAGAATATACCCAATAACTCCGCCATTTGTGGTTTTAAAGAGAAATGTTTCAAATAAAAAATTCTTTATTAATTGTGGCGCATTTTTTGACTATACTTGCTTGTTTACATTGTTCTTTGTTTGGTTGCTATGGCAGCCAACATTGTTATTTTAAATGGGATGCATATATTTTTTTTGCATACTTTTATAGAGGATAAGTCTCTGTATGTGATGAACATATCAAATCATATGGTTCGAGAAAAAAAATGCGTTCTTTAAAAGTCTTAAATCAGCTAATTACAATGCTACCATTACCCTTAATCAACCCTTTGAAATACCTCAATTGATCTCAATTTGCTACCAATTAATAAATTAATACCCTTGGTACACTCATAATATATACTAAATTTGATGAATATGATTATTCAAAACCGGTTCTGAAATTAACTTGGATCACATAGTTAATTTAAGATTAATTTATTCTATGTTTTAGGCTTTGTATATTGATGCTGCTGTTTATATTCCTGCTGAGTTACCTCAAATTCAAGATTTACTTATTGAGAAGCAGTTAAGGCTTCATGTAACTCCGGAAGAATTAGATATTTTAAGAGGATAATTTATCAGGTATTTTTCATTAATAAATATTGTATATAAAATTTATTTTATTTAAATTTTCCTAAAAATTTCCAAAATTTTTTTTAATGCAATTTGGGTTGCCTAACTTATTAAAAAAAAATTTATTTCTAAAATTTTTTAATTAATTTCTAGATTAAAATGTTATTGCTACAAGATTCTTATTAAAAACAAAATTTATTAATTAATTTTGAGGGAGCTTTCCCTTCCACCGAAGAAGTGAGAGCTTTCCATGACGTCACCAACCCCCCCACTCCAAATAGGTAGACTGTGTTTGTATCTCGCAGTCCTCGCAGTTTTAAGAACCATTCGCGTTCGGTCTGCAAAACTCTTCGGCGTTGAGGAAATAAAAAGAAACGGTACAAGAAAAACGGTGACATCGTCGATGTGTGAGTGAATTGCAAAAGAAACGCGGTGTGTCATGACTTTTTGACATTTTAAAAGAAGTCGAAATTGAGAGAAGGACCCAAAATTGCAAGAACAACATTATTTGGTTATTGGTAAGTTCTTTTTGAAATAAATTTTAGTTCCACCAAACAATTTAATAGGTTAATTAATTCTTTTACGAAGAAAAATCACAAAAAAGGGCGATATCGTTATCTTAATTCTTGTTTATCTTGATTTTTTCTTTGTCTTTGTTGTTAATTAATTGGTTTTGATTAAGAAAAAAAAGGGGGAATGATAATAATGAATAACGGGCATGTTTGTTTCCTTACCATAAAAATTACTACTAAAAGATTTAGTTTATTGCAAAATTATTATATTTTAATGGGGGTGTATTTTTGGTGTGTGTTTGGAAAGTTCAAGGACGAGGTTTCCTGGAAAAAGAAGGGGTGGCACGATTTAAATTGACCATAGGAGGGTGAAAGCTACCGGATTATTGATTTGTAACCGTTGAATTTCGGATGGCAAACCGCTTGACAGCTAACAATTACGTTTTCTTTGACATTTCTTTCTATTTAGTTATCAACGACTAAAATCTAAAGTGGGATTTCGCACAATTTTGATTAATTCAATTCTTATCGGCTTTTAAAGGAATTGGTGCGTTGAAAAAAGGATTTTAGGTGAATCGTGGATGGTTTAATTACAACTTCTTAGAAATTGTGGTGTTTATTTAGAAAAAGAAACCTTTCTAAATTTAATCGTATTTATTAAGAATTTATTTCAACGTTATCTAAGAAAAACTCGATGTATTGTTTTACTTATTTTTCAAGGTTTTTTTTATTGACTGTAATTTTAAACCGGTACTACTTCTCAATAATTAATGGGATAGCCCTTATTCTTGGTAATTGCTTCTAATCTGCTCGACATTGAAGCCCAGTATTTATTTTGCTCCATTCTTATCTGAATTTACAGAGAGAGTGTGCTCTTCACACCATCGTTCAACAAGTTAAGTTATGATATGGTATTAATTAAAATTTTTCTTCTTTAAACATATTGTATTCACCTTGAGGATAATTCAATTTTAATGAATGAAGTAGAAACGTTGTTTACTTACAAAGAATGAATCGATGACATCGAAACCTACTCAAGGTTTTTGTGTATTAATCAATAAATTGTTTAGATCAGCTTGTTAAGTAATGAAAATTCAAACGTCAATGTGACAGATTGATTTAAAAACATTAATAATAAAATTCCCTATTAATGCTGTCAATTGTTACCAACTGTTTCAACTTTTCAACAATTTGACGATTATTATTTTAATTAAATACAAAAGCACTTCATAACAAATTCACAATTCGAATAAAAACTCAAAAATAGCGAAATATATATAAATCAAAACGGTTATTAAAAAAATCGACTAGAAATATTCGACATTTATCAAATGATATCTAAAAATTTAGGTTGGTACCATTTTAGGGAAATTAATGCGTTGTAAATTTAAACGTCAAAATGACGTTTAATGTTACATGATGACATTTGTATGTCAAAATGTGTATAAATTGTAAACATGTATAAATAAAGTGTAAATAGGTATCTCTATATTTAAGAATTTATATACATATATATCTAATTAAATATTTGTGTTAGTTCTAGTGCAAAACTAGAACTAACACTAGACCTAGAACTAGAATCATTCGGGTTTAGCCGTCTTTAGAGACGTGCGGCTAAACCCAAATGATTCTAGGTCTAGTGTTAGTTCTAGTGATAGAGCTAGTATAAAACTAGAACTAACACCAGACCGAGAACTACAAACATTCGGATTTAGCCGCACGTCTCTCAAGACGGCTAAACCCGAATGATTNACAAGATCCTTATTAAAAACAAAATTTATTAATTAATTTTGAGGGAGCTTTCCCTTCCACCGAAGAAGTGAGAGCTTTCCATGACGTCACCAACCCCCCCACTCCAAATAGGTAGACTGTGTTTGTATCTCGCAGTCCTCGCAGTTTTAAGAACCATTCGCGTTCGGTCTGCAAAACTCTTCGGCGTTGAGGAAATAAAAAAAGAAACGGTACAAGAAAAACGGTGACATCGTCGATGTGTGAGTGAATTGCAAAAGAAACGCGGTGTGTCATGACTTTTTGACATTTTAAAAGAAGTCGAAATTGAGAGAAGGACCCAAAATTGCAAGAACAACATTATTTGGTTATTGGTAAGTTCTTTTTGAAATAAATTTTAGTTCCACCAAACAATTTAATAGGTTAATTAATTCTTTTACGAAGAAAAATCACAAAAAAGGGCGATATCGTTATCTTAATTCTTGTTTATCTTGATTTTTTCTTTGTCTTTGTTGTTAATTAATTGGTTTTGATTAAGAAAAAAAAGGGGAATGATAATAATGAATAACGGGCATGTTTGTTTCCTTACCATAAAAATTACTACTAAAAGATTTTGTTTATTGCAAAATTATTATATTTTAATGGGGATGTATTTTTGGTGTGTGTTTGGAAAGTTCAAGGACGAGGTTTCCTGGAAAAAGAAGGGGTGGCACGATTTAAATTGACCATAGGAGGGTGAAAGCTACCGGATTATTGATTTGTAACCGTTGAATTTCGGATGGCAAACCGCTTGACAGCTAACAATTACGTTTTCTTTGACATTTCTTTCTATTTAGTTATCAACGACTAAAATCTAAAGTGGGATTTCGCACAATTTTGATTAATTCAATTCTTATCGGCTTTTAAAGGAATTGGTGCGTTGAAAAAAGGATTTTAGGTGAATCGTGGATGGTTTAATTACAAGTTCTTAGAAATTGTAGTGTTTATTTAGAAAAAGAAACCTTTCTAAATTTAATCGTATTTATTAAGAATTTATTTCAACGTTATCTAAGAAAAACTCGATGTATTGTTTTACTTCGTTTTCAAGGTTTTTTTTATTGACTGTAACTTTAAACCGGAACTACTTCTCAATAATTAGTGGGATAGCCCTTATTCTTGATAATTGATTCTAATCTTCTCGACATTGAAGCCACCAATTTTTAGATAACAGCAGTATTTAGAGTGTGCTCTTCACACCATCGTTCAACAAGTTAAGTTATGGTTATGATATGAATTAATTAATTTTTTTCTTCTGTAAACATCTTGTATTCACCTTGAGGATAATTTAATTTTAATGAATGAAGCAGAAACGTTGTTTTGTTATGAAGAGTGAATCGATGACATCGAAACCTACTCAAGGTTTTTGTTTATTAATCAATAAATTATTTAGATCATCTTTTTAAGTAATAAAAATTCAAACGTCAATGTGACAAATTGATTTAAAAACATAAATAACAAAATTCCCTATTAATGCTGTCAATTGTAACCAACTTTTCAACAATTTGACGATTATTCGAAATTATTCTTTTAATTAAATACAAAACCACTTCATAACAAATTCAAAATTCGAATAAAAACTCAAAAATAGCGAAATATATATAAATCAAAACAGTTATTAAAAAAATCGACAAGAAATATTCGACATTCATCAAAAGATATTCAAAAATTTAGGTTGGTACCATTTTAGGGAAATGTGTTGTAAATTTAAACGTCAAAATGACGTTTAACGTTACATGGTGACATTTGTGTGTCAAAATCATGTATAAATAAAAAGTGTAAATAAGTATCTATATATTTAAAGATTTATATACTAATATATCTACTATATATATATATATATATATATATATATATTTCTAATTAAATACTTGTGTTAGTTTTAGTGCAAAACTAGAATCATTGTTTCTAGTTCTAGGTCTTCTGTTAGTTCTAGTGGTAGTGCTAGTGTAAAACTAGAACTAACACTAGACCTATAACTAGAAAGTATAGGGTTTACCCGTGCGTCTTCATATCTAATAGATTTAATACATAAAAGTAAATAATAAAATTCACAGTTACATATTTGACTTTTAAACGTCAATTTGACAATTAAATATCAACATCGTTAAAAACCTAAATCTCAAAAACCTCCAAGATCAGTTAATTTAATGTAAAGAATGTTATTGAAATACTAAAAGTAGCGAGATATATATAAATCAAAACAGTTATTAAAAAAATCGACAAGAAATATTCGACATTCATCAAAAGATTTCCAAAAATTTAGGTTGGTAACATTTTAGGGAAATGTAAATTTAAACGTCAAAATGACGTTTAACGTTACATGATGACATTTGTGTGTCAAAATCATGTATAAATAAAGAGTGTAAATAAGTATCTATATATTTAAGAGTTTAATAAAGTATTTAATTAAATACTTGTGTTAGTTTTAGTTTTGCACTAGAACTAACACTAGACCGAAAACTAGAAACATTCGGTTCTAGGTCTTGTGTTAGTTCTAGTGATAGTGTAAAACTAGAATTAACACTAAACCTAGAACTAGAAAGTATCGGGTTTAGGCCAAATATATATCCTTATTCCTATCCGTTGTCTTTCTATTATTGTCCTATCTTGTGTCTTCAAATTTTTCTTCTATCTGGGTTCTCAGCCGTTTTTCTAGAATTGTCTAGATTGTTCTTCTGATTTCACTTTTTTTTTTCCAGGCTTCTTAATTCCCCCTGAAGTTCTCTTTCATACTCCTCCTCCCTTCTTCCCTAGTTTTCCAATTCTTCCAGTTTTAGTCTTTCATATATTGTGTTTGTTTCTTTCGGAGGTGTTTTCAGGTTGGTATGTTCATGTGCATATTTTATAGATCTAGTTATGAGTAAGTTATATAGTCTATTATGCTCTTCTATCCCCTTTCTTCCGCTTCATATGTTATTTTATGAATATATTTGTGTTTGAACCATGTGTTTCTTATTAATAGTTAAAGTTGAAGTGGTAATAATTGTTCATATAACGAACTTTTGGCTACAGCAAACACTCCTTTCTCCATATTAGTCCGTTATATCGAGAGTTGACTGTTTTTTTTTAATTTTTAAGAATCCCAATGATTTAATCACGGCTAAAATGAGTCATTCTTTAATTCCGGTGACTAAACCATACCATTACCTAGGTTTAAAAAAAAAAAAAGAAAACATTTTAATAAAAACTGAGTGTTTTGACCTTGAAAGTGAATTGACCGCGAGAAAAGATGATGATGAGTATGATTTTGCATATACACGAAGAGGGACAAGAAGAGCGAACATCTGGGCAAAGAGGAGTGGCCGGACATTTGAAATACCCGAGAAGGTCACGGATTCGAAAGGCTCAGAAGCAACTCGGAAACGGCTTTTCTTTAATTTTAAAGAAAAAAATTAAATAAGAAATGGGAGTAAAAATAGGGGGAGATGAAGCACGTGCCCCCTTTTTTTAACGAAAACCTTTGAGGCAGATGTTCTTCGAGGGGAACGACATTTCCACCTGGTGCTTTCTTAGAATTTAACGGATCGCAACTTATCCACCAACGGTTTTTAAAACAAATCACCCAAAGCGACGTGGATAAAGAATAAAAGAAGTTTTAACAACGCAATAAAATCGTTGCGTAAACGGTTAATTTTTCACAATACATAATGTATGAGTCGTTCTCGAGTCCGTGTTAAAGAATCTCATTACTTAATCGATTTAAATCTTAATTATTTAAATAAACGATTAATAATAAACGAATTTTATGATTTATTAGTATTACATAAGCGGAATTTAATTTAAATTTAATCAAATTCCAAACCCACAATTCAATCTCTTTTTATTACATAATTAATTGCTTTTGAGTTTTTATTCGAATTGTGAATTTGTTATGAAGTGGTTTTGTATTTAATTAAAATAATTATTTCGGATAATTGTCAAATTGTTGAAAAGTACAAAGTTCTAGGTCTAGTATTAGTTCTAGTGCTAGAACTAACACTAGACCTAGAACTAGAATCATTCGGGTTTAGCCGTCTTGAGAGACGAATGGCTAAACCAGAATGTTTCTATTTCTAGGTCTAGTGTTAGTTCTAGTTTTAAATGACGTTTGACGTTTATACGAAATTTGACTTATTTGACATCACGTACTGTCAAGGTAAAATAATAGCAATCTGTTTTTCATCTGACGTTTAAAATGACACGGGAGTTAATAATTAATTATTAATAAGTTATTAATTATTATTTTCATAATTGTTANTAACACCAGACCGAGAACTAGAAACATTCGGATTTAGCCGCACGTCTCTCAAGACGGCTAAACCCGAATGATTCTAGTTCTAGGTCTTGTGTTAGTTCTAGGTTTAGTGCAATGAAAAATGCAACATAGTGATATTTTATGCTAACTAGCGCAATCTATCACTGTTACTAGAACTAACATTAGACCTAGAACTAGAAACATTCGGGTTTAGCCGTCTTGAGAGACGTGGGGCTAAACCCGAATGATTCTAGTTCTAGATTTTATGTTAGTTCTAGTGATAGTGTAAAACTAACACTAGACCTATAACTAGAATGTATAGGGTTTAGCCGTGTGTCTTCATATCTAATAGATTTAATACATAAAAGTAAATAATATAATTCACAATTACATATTTGACTTTTAAACGTCAATTTGACAATTAAACATCAACATCGTTAAAAACCTAAATCTCAAAATCCTCCAAGATCAGTTGAGTGTTTTTTTTTTAATTTTTAAGAATCCCAATGATTTAATCACGGCTAAAATGAGTCATTCTTTAATTCCGGTGACTAAACCATACCATTACCTAGGTTTTATTTAAAAAAAAAAAGAAAACATTTTAATAAAAACTGAGTGTTTTGACCTTGAAAGTGAATTGACCGCGAGAAAAGATGATGATGAGTATGATTTTGCATATACACGAAGAGGGACAAGAAGAGCGAACAGCTGGGCAAAGAGGAGTGGCCGGACATTTGAAATACCCGAGAAGGTCACGGATTCGAAAGGCTCAGAAGCAACTCGGAAACGGCTTTTCTTTAATTTTAAAGAAAAAAATTAAATAAGAAATGGGAGTAAAAATAGGGGGAGATGAAGCACGTGCCCCCTTTTTTTAACGAAAACCTTTGAGGCAGATGTTCTTCGAGGGGAACGACATTTCCACCTGGTGCTTTCTTAGAATTTAACGGATCGCAACTTATCCACCAACGGTTTTTAAAACAAATCACCCAAAGCGACGTGGATAAAGAATAAAAGAAGTTTTAACAACGCAATAAAATCGTTGCGTAAACGGTTAATTTTTCACAATACATAATGTATGAGTCGTTCTCGAGTCCGTGTTAAAGAATCTCATTACTTAATCGATTTAAATCTTAATTTATTATATATTTAAATAAACGATTAATAATAAACGAATTTTATGATTTATTAGTATTACATAAGCGGAATTTAATTTAAATTTAATCAAATTCCAAACCCACAATTCAATCTCTTTTCATTACATAATTAATTGCTTTTGAGTTTTTATTCGAATTGTGAATATGTTTTGTATTTAATTAAAATAATAATTTCGAATAATCGTCAAAATACAAATGTTTATGTAAATACACAAGTATTTAATTAGATATATATGTATATAAATCCTTAAATATATAGATACTTATTTACACTCTTTATTTTGACACACAAATGTCATCATGTAACGTTAAACGTCATTTTGACGTTTAAATTTACAACACATTTCCCTAAAATGGTACCAACCTAAATTTTTGGAATTATTTTGATGAATGTCGAATATTTCTTGTCGATTTTGTTAATAGCTGTTTTGATTTATATATATCTCGCTACTTTTAGTATTTCAATAACATTCTTTACATTAAATTACGTAAAATTCTTTACGTTAAACTATTAAGGGGGGCAACTCTCGATATAACGGACTAATATGGAGAAAAGAGTGTTTGCTGTAGCCAAAAGTTCGTTATATGAAAAATTATTACCACTTCAACTTTAACAATCAACTATTAATAAGAAACACATGGTTCAAACACAAAAATATTCATGAAATAACATACGAAACGAAAGAAAGAGTACAGAAGAGCATAATAGACTTACTCTAGATCCATGAAATATGCAGTACAAGATGTAAAGGTAATAAGAGAAGCAGAACTATTGATAACTGATACCAACCTCAAAACACCTCTGAAAGAAACAACAACAATATATGTAAGATTAAAACTGGAAGAATTGGAAAACCAGGAAAGTAGAATCAGAAGAACAATCTAGACAATTCTAGAAAAACGGCTGAGAACCCAGATAGAAGAAAAACTCGAAGAGGAATAAACGGCGTTCTGGCCAAACAGATAAATTGATATAAATTTGGCCTTCCTAGACTTTAAGTGAACTGGGACAAATCCAAAACTAAATAGAGCAATCCATAACGTAATGGGAAGGGTTAGACTGAATGGAAAGACATCCGAAAAGTTCAGAATGGAAATGGGATGTCAGTTTAACCCTATTACTCTTTGTAGCATACATGGACAGAATAAAGCAAGCTAATGTCAGGCAGCATAGATATCCTACAAAGAAACATCTAAATATGAAATACCTGCTTACAATAAAGAGGAATGGTAATAAATAAGAACAAAAGTAAGATTCTACATATCACAAAATAAGAAGAAACGGGAGATATTGACGTAAGAATAGAGGGATGACTGGAGGTGGTAGTAAAGTATGAATATCTTGGAACCATAATAAGTATCAGTCTGTTATCAAATTCATAACACCCTCGTAGGCAAGAAAGAACTGAACCTAAAGCAAAAATACAATTATATAAAACCATTTATTGGCCTCGCCTTCGTGATATACAGGGTGATTTATTAGCTCACCATCGCACTTTGACATATGATAGCTAATCCAATTACTAAAAAAAAATGTTAATGAAGTTTTAATTTTTATATCATAATTAATTGCAACATTTTTTTTAAACACATAAATATTACAAATATTGTTCAAAATAGCCTCCTTCTGCTAGAATACACGCTTCACAACGGCGAATTAAAGAGTTCTTCAGACGAATTAAAATGTCTGGTTGATTTCTTATTTCAGTAGCAGCCATTTGTATTCTATTTAATAACTCTTCACGTGTGTTAATTTTCACTTGATACAGAATTTGTTTCATTTGACCCCATAAATAGAAATCCAATGGATTAAGGTCGAGGGATCTAGGTGGCCAAGCAAATGGACTATTATTATCAAACCACTTGTTTGGAAAATATTGGTTTAACCACTCGACAACTACTCTTCCGCGATGAGGTGGGGCACCATCGTGCTGATACCACATATTTTAAATTACAATAGAAGAATTAGAAAGAAGAAATCTGTAATTTACAGCGTTCAAACGTCAATGAAGTACAGGTGGTTCAAATTCGATGACTGAATAGGATCTCGGAAACTATAAAAGTTAGAAAAAAGTAGCTTACATGTCATGATCTCGTTTTTCGAGAAACTTCTAATGCCAAAAACTTGAAAGCGCTATCGTCTTTTGTTTTTCCCCTAGAGGCCAAAATTGAAAATATCGCAAAACCGGCAAGTGCAATTATCTTGGTTATTATTATAGGTGGAGTATTATAACTAAGACATTATATGGACAATTTTTTACAGAGAATTTGATGACGTAGTCAAAAAAATGTTTTGGGTTTTAAATTTCTACATATTATTATGACAATTTTTGTTTTTTTAAATGGAAACAATCAGTTTTCGCTTATTAAATTCGTTATTTTTTCTGATTACAAAAATATAGGGTTTGAGAGGTTTATTTCTTATTGTTTTAGAATAAAGCTATAAATAAACATTTTTAAGTGTCTTCAAAGAAATTAAATTTACAGTTTCCTGTAAATAACGGTACTATAAAAATTATTCTACTAAAAATTTATATAAAATTTACTTTAAACATTCTAACATGTTAAACTTTTCGTAATTCATCTTAAAAAACAGGATTTTTGATTTGACATTTAATTTGACACAAATATTGCTATGTTTATTTGAATTAAAAAAATATATATGAGCGCCATCTATCAATAATTTATTAAGTCATTTAATAATAATATTAAATATTAATAAAAAATGTGAAATAATGCAATCTATTCCAACTTTTGTGTAAAACAAATATAAATTAAACAGTTCAACAATTGTATTTGTTTGAAATATCAGAAATATCTTTTTTTAATTTTCAGTTATAATTACAGGAAACTGTAAACTATCTCATATCGACAGGTGTTCTATTTTGTACTAATAGAATAATCTCGAGAAACTCCATGTATTTATAAAAAGACATTTTTGCAAACTGGAGTAAATTCGCCATTGATTTTAATATTGTATACAAAACATTTACTTTTTGTCTGTCGAATTTGACTTGAAAATGAAGCACTATCTGAGTTTTTCTTCTTTCTACACTTAATTTCCCTAGCTTCTATCAATGTTTAGAAATGTAAATCTTGTTGGTTTGTTTACCTTTCAGTCGTGCTTTTCTTATCACTACGTTTATATAGAACTTCCACTGTGCATTTTTTAATACGAAATAATCATAACACATTAAGTGAAATTATATAATCTATATAAAATATAAAATAAATGTGAATTATCTAGTAAATACCTTCGAAATTAGATCATTAAACTACTACTTATAAAAAAAAACAGATAAAAACTTGTGCACCTACGAATAAACATAACTAACCTCAAAAATCCATTTGACGTTTATACGAAATTTGACATCACGTACTGTCAAGATAAAATAACAGCAATCTGTTTTTCATCTGACGTTTAAAATGTCACGGGAGTTAATAATTAATTATTATTAATTATTAATAAGTTATTAATTATTATTTCCATAATTATTATGGATCAGAAACTTTTTTAACATATCAAAAAGATGTAAACAAAATTAATTGTGACATTTGACGTTAGATGGCTCTCAACGGTTTTTCAATTTATCGTTTAAATGTTATTAACAAATCATTAATAATTATTTCTTCGTTTTAAGAGACGTGCGAATTAAATCGGAATCAGTTCCAATTTTCGTTAAATACTGTATGTTAATTAATAATTAATTGTTTATTTTAATTCATTTTAGATGACTTCAAAGCTTAATACCGGATTAATTTAAGATTAAGTGAAGATTTTTTTGGGGATAAAATGACCGCAATAGTTGAATTGGAAAGTTGGTTGATTTATCAATGTATTGTAACTGAATGCAACGATTGTTTATGTAAGTAATTCGCTTTTAATGTCATTACATCTTTTTATTTTTATTTTTATTCCTTTTTGTTTGCTTTTTAGGATTTATTTTATTATTTTTTAAACAACGCCTACATACCCCCAAAAATTAAAAAAAATAGAAAATGTTGGATCCAGGTAAGTTATTTTTTTACTCTAATAATAAATAAATGAAACGTGTTTGAAAGAGGAAGTTAAATCTAACCAAAAACACTCCTATTAATAGATATAGCTCGTTCTTGGTCCTAGTTTAATCTTTTCCGTTCCAACCCGGGCAAGTTCCTTTCTTTCTTATCCGAACGGAAACGGAAAAACGGGATTCGACATCCGTTTTTAAACATTTTCTCTCTCACTCACAATCAGTTTCGTTCTAATCTAAAAATTATTTACCAATCTCGCTAAACCCATATTTTCTTTTCAATTAGATAAGGAAAATAACACGATAAGATAATCTCAACTAAAAGTACCCACTCCTTTTGAGCATAATTTTGATCAATTCTTATTCGTTAAAGACACGAGTCATTTAAATGTTTATTAAATAAATAAAATAATGATCAAGATTTAATTTAAATAATTAAAAGTGAAATATTTAGGTGAGTTTTGTTGTTGATTTTTTTTAAAAGAGAACGAACGATTAAAAGACTCGTCTCTTTCAATGTCGTATTAATGATTAATAATTGCCTGGAATTGAATGCGAAGTTAAAAGGAAAAAAGAAAAATAATCTTCGTGATATGCGGTCTAGGTCATTTCAATTTATAAAATTCCTCAACGAGAACCTAATAAAATAATAATTAAACCAAAGAATTTAAATGATTGAAACGTTTTAGTCATAATTTCCGCATAAATACGATAAAAATCGATTATTCACATTATTAACAAATTATAAGGAAAAACGTTTCTTTTCTTTTATTATTATTTTTCATTATAACAATGGTGTTATGGTTTAGTTCTTAATCTATTGTTTGATTATTGCTTAATCGTTTGGTAAATATTTCCTTTTCTCATAACGACGTACGTTTCGTAAATGCGATTAATAAAGTTCTTTATGCGTTGTTGCAGTCATGACGGAGAGTGCGTTTAGGGCACGCGATATCGGCCTAAGGGCTCAAAAGAAAATTCTTTCGAGGATGGCAGGAAAAAATGTCGCAAGGGCTTTTATCGATGACACAACGGCGTCTTTGTTGGATAATTTATATCGTTTGGCTAAGCAATACGTAAGTAAAAAATTATTTATCAATTATTAAAAGTTATGTTTGCCTCAGTCTACAGAGAAGTCCAATTTTATTCAATATATCTCCCTTAGTTAAGAACTAATTGAGCTTGATGTAATTGCGATAAGCTATGCTTATGATTTAGCACTATATTGTACTTTTACTAACATAGTAGTAACATAGTAGCCCTATGAGGTGTATTGAGAGCTTCAAGCACTTGAGATTTCAACTCTAAGGAAACTAAGTTGGAAAGAAAATTGATTGTCCAGTGTAGAGATGAAAGAGAAAAATATTCTCCGCTAGAAAATTCTTAAATAGACCCTCATCAAGTTCCACACTTGATGGTTTTATTAATGTTGCATCAAAAGTTGAACAAGAGAAGCTAAATCAACTATTAGCTAGGGCTGTTTATGCAACAGGTAATAATCACTGGCAATCATTTTTCAAATATTTGAGACCATTAAGAAGAGCGAATGCACTTACCTTACAGTGTGATGGTTGGAGCTTAACTTAACTTCATTATTACTTCACCAAACCATATGTTTTATAAAACATACCACAGAATATATTGCTGAAAAAATCGACGAAATTCTGACAGAAGTTAGTACACTACCAGTGCAATGGCTAAAACAAGAAGTACACTTTATGAAAAGTACAACCATAAGTTAAGGTTATCATCAAAGAAATTAACAATTCTCACATTTTATTGGCTACGTTCTAAATTATGAGTTAATTGTCAAATATTGACAGCTAACTTCACCTAACTCATTGGTTTTTATTTTGTATAGGTTATGTGGAATTAAAATGGGGATAAATTTGATTCAAAAAAATTAATAAAGATAATTAATTAACAACATTTTTTAACAACCAATAAATGTTTATTTTATTTTAATTATTTGTGTAAACGTCTCTGTGATAAATTGATTTAAAAACTTGATATAACAAAATTCCCTGTTAATCTTACCAACTGTCAATTAATTTGACAGATTTAACCTCAACATTAAAAAGAAATCAATTAAGTTAGAGGAGATTTAGACCTTTATGAAACCAACATATTTGTCAACTTCATAAAAAATCCTTTGAAATGAGTCCAAACTCGACATATTTAACTTTTATATTAATGGAAATATAATCACTTCCGGTTTGAAACGTCAACGTCAATTATGACATATTTGTCATTGTCATTAAAAAACCTTTAAAATGAGTCCAAACATGGTGCATTTATCTCAAAAAACAAAAAAGTTAGAATAAAAAACATTAAACCCGAAGTTAGCAACAATGAAGATACCCATTTAATTTTTAAATATCAATACCAACCTTAATTTTTGATTTTTTTTTTATTACTTTTTTATTTTTGTGACAAATATTAAAACATTTTATAAAAATTAAGAATATGTCAAAATGACATTGACATTTCAAACCGGAAGTTGTTTATATTTCAAGTAATATTGGAATTAAACGTATCGTGTTTGGGCTCATTTTAAAGGATTTTTCACGACGATTACAAATATGTCAAAATTGACGTTGACATTCTTAACCGGAAGTTGACCATAACTTCATTAATATTGAAGATAAATATGTCGTGTTTGTACTCATTTTAAAGGATTTTTAATGAAGATTACAAATATGTCAAAATTGAGGTTGTCTTTTCAAACCTGAAGTTAGTTATTCATATAATAGACAAATGGACAACTTCGTGGTGTTCTTTCATGATGTATTCTTTATTAAAAACCTTTAAAATATGTCCAAACATGATGCATTTGTCTCAAAAAACCAAAAAGTTCGAACTTTCAACTTTTAATTTTGACATATTTGTCAACTTCATAAAAAATCCTTTAAAATGAGTCCAAACTCGACATATTTAACTTTAATATTAATGGAAATACAATCACTTCCGGTTTGAAACGTCAACGTCAATTTTGACATATTTGTCATCTTCATTAAAAAACCTTTAAAATGAGTCCAATCATGACGCACTTATCTCAAAAAACAAAAAAGTTAGAATAAAAAACATTAAACCCGAAGTTGGCAACAATGAAGATGGCAATTTAATTTTTAAATATTAGTACCAACCTTAATTTTAGATTTTTTTTTATTATATTTTTGTTTTTGTGACAAATATTAAGACATTTTATAAAAATTAAGAATATGTCAAAATGACATTGACATTTCAAACCGGAAGTTGCTTATATCTCGAGTAATATTGGAATTAAACGTATCATGTTTGGACTCATTTTAAAGGATTTTTCACGACGATTACAAATATGTCAAAATTGACGTTGACATTCTTAACCGGAAGTTGACCATAACTTCATTAATATTGAAGATAAATATGTCGTGTTTGTACTCATTTTAAAGGATTTTTAATGAAGATTACAAATATGTCATGATATTTTAAATCTGAAGTTAGTTATCATGTAATAGAAGTTTTATAACTGAAGTTAATCTAGTTTTAGTCACTTTTCCGCACTTTCTTTTTATGTTTAACTAATAATCTGATTTCGACTTTGTTAAGAAATATTAAGTAACTTGTTTGTAAAATGGATAAGATGAGAGATATTAATCTATTTATAGAGTTTTTGAAGATGGCCAAGGGAAAATCAGTTTAAAAGTACAAAATCAAACTCTAGATATTTACTCATCAAGAGAATCACCCTGTATAATCTTGTGATAGCTGTGATCAAAATAGACACGATTTTCAATAGTTTAGAATAGACAGGCTATTCTGAGAAGTTTTATATTTAGTAATCCTATGAATCAATCAATGAGGTTATGACTGATGATATCCTCAATTATTTATTAAATGTAATTTTTATTAATTTATTTCCTAATAATTATTTTCTTTTTCAGTCAAATAATAAAAAAGAAGCCGAAAAGTTAGTAAAAAACATAATAAAAGTAGTAATAAAATTAGGAGTTCTCCACCGTAACGGTCTTTTCACCGCCGAAGAATTAAAACAAGCGGAACGTTTTAAATCAAAGTTTCGAATCGCTGGAATGGCAATTATATCCTTTTACGAAGTCGATTTTAGTTACGACCGTAACTATTTGACGAACGCCCTCGGGGAATCACACAAGTGCCTCAGGTTCATTGTTTCGAACCACTTAACGGAAAAATCTTTAGCGAGAATCGACAGCGTCTTTAATTATTTCGGCAACGAACACTTTTTGGATTCGATTTTTAAGCCGGACGGCGAATACAGGGATATTTTAGGTCGGGTCGTTACCGATTTGAATAAAGCCATCGAAAGCGGAGATCTTTAGTGATTCAATTAAATATTAAAAAACGACCAAAAAATTCTTCAAAAATGTTAATATCAAAGGAAAGAATGTTTCGTATTTTTTTCTCTATCACATATCTTCTTACGTAGGTTTGTCTTTAGATAAAAGACCAAGAATCGAAATTGATGAAGGTATTTTTACACTAAAAAATGAATCATATCACGAGCATAACATTTTTTTTCTAATACTTAGAATAGTTTTTACATCCACGCATTGAAATAAATAATGTCACCGTTCTTAGACAATAAATGCTAAAAAAAATCTGTCCCCCGTTTTACTATTAAATAATAATAAAAACAGAAAGTGTTAAAATAAAAGGCTTTTGCCAAAGAGTTTTATTTAATCGAAATATTCTTGCGTTTTTTTTGTAAAATAATTAATTTATTAAATTTTCTGTGATTTCCTTTTGTTTGATTTAAGTTTAATTTAATTAAATTATCTTATTATGTATTAAGGTTAATAATAATTAATAGTTAAGAAGTTAATCGATATTGAAACGAATTTAAGCCGTGAAAAACCTAGTCAAGTGAAACGGCAAATAAAAATAAAACGTAATTTTATTGTATGTAAAAAAAAAGCATTTTTTGTTTTGTTAATTATTAGCAATACACATAAATGGCTATAAAACAAAACTCATCGTTTGTTATATTAGGTTGTAAGGATATTTTCTCACTCTTTGAATAATGTTTATTTTACAATTATATCCAAAAATAAATTTATAAAATGATATATTCGTATTATTTAATGAAAGAATAGTTCATCCTAGCCAATTACAGGGGATGTAAATTCAATCTAGAACAAATTAATTCTAGAAACAAACCTACCACAAGTCGACAAAGACATTAATCATAACAAACCTCTCCAACATTCTGCATAAAAATGATTGATAACGCACCTATAATTCTATACGATCTCCAAATACTCAATCGATTTAAAAATTAAAAATCCTCTCATTCGAGCCAAAATTCGATTTAAAATTAATCAACTTCCGGCCAAACCGGAAGTAAGGCTTTCTTTACGATTTATTAAACTTTTTAAATCGAATTTTTAATAGAAACTTCTTTAATTCATCGAATTAATCGTTTTAAAGCGATTTAAAAATTAAAAATCGTTTAACTTGAGCCCAAATTCGACTTAATTTCGTTTAAAATCTCAAGACTAGTCTCAGACTAGTTCTAGTTTTAGTTCAATAATAATACAAAGTGATATTTAATGCTAACTAGTGTTACCTACAAGCCATCTTAACGAAATATTTCTAATTCAAGGGTCAGTTCTAATGTTAGTATTAGTCTAGTTTTAAATCATAACCTTAACTCATGACAATGACAGTCATCGTTCTTCTGTCACCTACTACTAGATGGCGCAACCACATATGACACCAACCTAATACAAAACAGTTACTAACCAAAAAAAAAATTAAGTTTGTTTGAATCAACTTTATTTAATCGTTGTTTAAATTTTATTTATTGTTACGAAATTATGATTGTTAAAATTAAATTGATAATAAATTAATTTAAAAAAATTAATAAATTTTGTGACATAATTCGCCAAGGGTTAACTTAACCAGCTAACTTCAAACTCCTCTAAAACGTCACTCATTTCATCTTTTAAAGTCTTTTAAGTAATTTCTGGGGCTTCGTACCAGAAGAATTCGGTAATAATGGCATCAACAAAGTTCACAATCCTCGTAAGTACCGTATTAACTCAAATCAAATTAAAACCGCCTCCTTTTAATCGTTATGTAATCAAGATTTCTAGGTTATGTTAACTTTTTCGGTTTTAGGCGAGGAGTTTCAGTACTTCTGGGGCCGTTAACCAATTAATCAAGCCTCCAATCCAAGTGTTTGGAATTGAGGGTCGGTACGCTACCGCTTTATACTCGGCCGCTTCAAAAGAAAAAAAGTTGGATGCGGTCGAAAAAGAATTGGTTCAATTCCAAGGTGTGCTTAAATCCGACGTTAAATTGAACGAGTTTATTTTAAATCCGACTATTAAGAAGCAAACGAAAACCGAAGGAGTGAAAGCGATCGCTTCTAAAGCGGGATTATCACCGGCTTCTGCTAATTTGTTGCAAATTTTGGCCGAAAACGGCCGATTGAAAAAATTAAATGGGGTTATTAATGCTTTTAAAACTATTATGTCTGCCCATAGAGGAGAGGTAAGATTATTATTGCGGATTTTAAGATTTTATTTCGATTCTAAAAGGTTTAGGTTCATGGTTAATTCATTTTAACAAAAAGTTCATTTCATCAGAATTTCATACTTCTAGCATAGTTGGTTTGGTCGGGCGATTTTTACAGTTGCTGCCACTGTACGAGCAGAGGGACAACTACAGCGGCGGCGGTTTCATACTTTTAGAGTTTATTATGTACAAGACACAACCATCTTTCACATAGAACAAGGTTTGCTTATGTCCGGTGAGGTTAGTCCTTTTGCTTAATACAGTGGGCAAGGTTGCCAGGTCTCACGATTTGATATCTATTTCTCACGATTTTATTACAAAAATAATATAATAATTAGTGTTAATAAAATCATAACATTCTCAACTCAAATTGTAGGTTACTGTAAATTTCTCTATTAGTTACATCTATTCGCCGCTAGATGGCGCTAAAATTACTTACACTGTAATATTTTATTTTTTTTTCATTATTAAACGCTGTCTAAACTATTTTACTTGTATCCTATGCCTATATGCAACACATATTATTAAAATTGAGTGATTTTTAAACAAATTTCAACATCTCACGATTTTTTATGATTTTGCTCACGACATTTTGTGTGTAACCTGGCAACCCAAAAACTCTAAAACATTTTTTTTCAGCTTTTAGGCATATTTTTGTTCCCAAACATTATATTTTTTGTTGTAATTAAATCTTTGTTGAATTTGTTTCATGAACGTTACTTTTTGTTGAATTTGAATAGGTGCAATGTGAAGTAACCACAGCGAAACCCTTGGATCAAGCTCAACGTCAAAAGTTAGAGGGAGTTTTAAAATCGTTTTTGAAAGGTAGCCAAAGTTTACATTTAACGGCTAATGTTGATCCGGGTATTATTGGCGGGATGATTGTCAGTATCGGGGATCGGTACGTTGATATGAGCGTTTCCAGCAAGATTAAGAAGTACACGGATATAATTAGTACCCCAGTTTAAAAAAATAAACTAAGTGAAAAGGAGAATATGGTTATGAAACCATCATCTTGATGAAACAACCTCGTTCGTTAGCTTATTTTAGGTATGAATGAATTTTCAATTATATTGGTGTAATAGAAAAACAATAAATGAAAAAAAATTGAGTTTGCTTTTTAAATTCCAATTTATTTTTGAACGATTTTAAAAATAAACTTATTTGAGGACTAGTACATAAATAAAATCATAAAATATGATCTTGGTACCAAACGACTTGTTTGTTCTTGGATATAAACGAAATTGGTTCCAGCCAAAAAACGTTTTTTTATTTTTTATTCAATTTATCATGTCGATTTTTTTTGACAACACCTGTCAAATTTTTATAAAATTGGTGACGGTTGGTATGATTAACAGGGAATTTTGGTTATATCATGTTTTTAAGTTAATGTGTCATTTTGAAATTTGAAGTTTCGTTATTAAAGAAAATTTAGTTTTTGGTTTTATATTTATTAAGAAATAATTGAAATCAAATTTACGCGAAAAAGGCGTAATTTATTTAGAGTTATTGAAAGTGTTACTAAAATTCAAAATATTCATTAGCTTTAATACCAACAGGAAAAAGAAAAATTTGAATTTGACTTTGACAGTGTTGAATTGACATGTTAATAATGAAATTAATAATATAATGTTAGTTACAGTTGTTATGTGCAATATTATTATTATTAAATAATTACAACAGGTTATGGGCCCAGAGCTCAGAGAAGTAATAAATTAAATAAAGTGTTAAAAAGATATAAAATAAAAATGAGTCAAAATATAGAAAACCTACCACAACTAAATTCTGAAAACTTTAATAACTGGAAATTTCGTTTATTTGAAGAAAGATTATTGGAAAATACTTTAGAGAAAGATATAGAAAGTGTAAAAGATGATAAAGAAAAATCTGAATTTAAAATTAAAGATGCTCTAGAGCGCGAAATCTATAATAATTCAGTGGTTCAAAAACAGCAAAGGAAATGTTGAAATCTTTAAAAGATGTTTTCCATAGAAAAAGTGTATTTACAATGTTAACACTTAAAAAGAAATTATTGACATTAAAATTAAAGAAACAAGAAAAACTGGAAGATTATTTCTTAAAATTTGATAATAATATTAGAGAATTGGAAAGTATAGGAACAAAAATTGACGAATCTGATAAGATTTGTCATTAAACGAAGATTATGATCAAGTTATTACAGCTATAGAAACATTAAATACAGAAATCAGTATGGATTTTGTAAAATCAAGACTGTTAGATGAGGAATTAAAACAGATAAGTAAAGGTGAATCAAGAAATATTGAAGAAGTAATCAAAGCATTGCCTTTTTCATGTTATTCGTGTGGTAATCAGAATAATAATATTTATTTAGCTTTAATACCAACAAAAAAAATTTGACTGAGTGGACACAAAAGTAATGAATGTAAAAAAACGGGCACAATTTAATTTCAAAAGAAAAAGAAGAAGAGGTGATAGAGATTTTAAGTATCGTGGGCGAGGAAGATATATAATGTCGAAACTGCAAATGAAGTACATACAAATAATATCACCTTTATTGCATTGAATATATTTATAGATTTATTATCCTATGCAACAGAAGTTGAAAATTTGGAAACCTTTGTAAAAATACAAGTAGCAACTGGTAATGATATGTTGGCAAAGAAGAAAGCAACAATAATATGCATTTAGAATATTATAAAGAAAGACAAATTACAATTAATGCATTAATAGTAGAAGGATTAAAACATAACTTGCTATCAGTTTCACAACTAATTAAAAAAGGAATAAAAGTAACGTTTATAAGAAATTAAAAGGGTTATTTATATTAGAATTAAAATTTAAAAATGCTCATCCAAAAATGTGTTGTAATATAATACAAAATGAAGATGTGTGGCATAGAAGATTAGGACATCTAAATAAAATTGGGTTAAAGTTACTCAATTTACCAGTAAGTGAAGAAAGATGCAGAATATGTATAGAAGGAAAATCGACAAGAAAAGCATTCACACGAACATATCAGGGTCCGTACAACCGTCAACAAGTGAAGATTTTAAATATTTTCAAATACTAATTGATGATTATTCTCATTTTGCTGTAGTACATTTATTAAAGAGTAAACGAGAAGCTGTACAGAATGTAATTGATTTTATAAAATTAATTAAAACGCAACATGAATAATATAATAGAATAAGATGTGATAAAGGAGGAGAATTTACGATTTTTTTTTTAAATTTTTGTAAAAATAAAAGAATAAATATTGAATATACTATCCAAAATTCGAAAAAGATCCTTCAAGAAATGAATTTTATAGCGAATTTTGAAAATTATCGATTGAAATTGCAACATCGAAAATTTTATCGAAACTTCAAATATTGTTTTTTCAAAAACTAAAAGTTATTTTTCAAAACGGGTTGGTTCATTGGAAAGAGGGCACTCTTATTAACACTTTGGGAAATTTTCATACTCATATTCCAAGAAATGGATTTTATACGAATTTTTAAAACTTAATCG